GGGGGGGGGGGGAACGAAAGTGGGCCGATCTAGATCACACTAGGAAGAGGGTCCAGGGGCATGCCCCCGCGAAATGTTTGTTTCCAGACACCCAAAAATAACCTCTGAGGCGTTATGGGCGATCAATTATTTCTCTTCCTTTCTTTCTTCTTTCTTCCTTTCTTCTTTTTTTTTCCTTCTATTTTGTCTTTGGAAAAAGGGAGGGGGCGAGTCCCCCTTAAATCTGCCACTGATAGCATGCGTCTTTAATCCACAAATTGACACATCCTCATTGGTATCTCACCCCACACCCACCAAACCAAAATCCACACACACCTAATATAAAACTACGCAACACAGATATAGATTAGCCCAAAACCTCTAGATTTATCTATGCTATAATATTTTATTCATATAAATATTATATTTTTTTATTGTGATGTATACGCAAATAAATTAGTATTTCGGAATTGCATATGTTAGTGGAGAACAGTAAATGTTCATTAAAGAGGAGGCATTACATTCTATCTCTAATTTCACATAAACGTTACCCTGCTCATAGTGAAAAAAAGACAGCTTACCCGGTGATGGAGATGGTGTCATACTGTCGCATAATGGGCCTTCTAGCCCCTCTGGACATACACATACGCAATCTTTACCAACAAAGCCACCGTATTGACAAATCTGTGCCAACTGCTCCGGGGTGCAGTGATCTAAACCATGCAATGAAATTGTCTTTTTAAGCGTTTACATTGATACAATCGATACATTTAAACTATGAATGTAATATTATATAAAGGACCACTTAAATACTATGATTATTTTTAATAAAACTGCCTAATAATAAATAACAGACTGGTAGGCAGGATTTTCGATGGGAGGTGCGTTTTACGATCGAAGCGGGCTTTAGGCTAGTGGGAGCCTAGTACACCCGCGGGGGTGGGGCGAACCCCCCCCCCCAAGCTTTTGACAAATTAGCATTTTGAGCACCTTATAAATGGATTTCTATTCTATTTAAATTTGTATTCATTTGGGTATTATCAGGGACCTAAAGTGGTAGTTTTTCATGTCTATGTAGAACAGATAAAATTGTTCATAGGCTAATGAATCGATCAACAAATTTCGTATCACAGTTATTAAAATCAACGGTTAGAAGAGCTAGCAAAAAGGCAATCCATACTATTAGCATATCAAGATAATTACGAACGATTTTAGTGAAATAATAGGTTTAAAAAGTGTACTTTTTGAAATTCGTGGGTCCAGGGTCAGGGGCATAGAGAGGGGATGTTGTGGGGGGGGGGAATCCCCGGAAGCTTCAACAAAATAGCATCTTGAGGACCTTATATAATTGATTTCTCAAACCAATTCGTGAATATTCTATTTAAATTTGTGTTTTTAGAAGAAGTACCGTACCGTTTTATGTCCTTTACATCTGTAGGCCTATTTGATGTAGGCCTATTTGATAACATTGTTTATATTGATCAATTTCACCAGAGCTGATCATTCCAACAAATTTCATACCATTGGTAATAAAAAATAAAAGGTAATAAAAAATAAATGGTTAGAAGAGCTGGCAAATATAAAATGTAATGTATACTATTAGCAATAATTAGAAAGAAATTTGTGAAATAATAGGTTGAAAAAAGTAGATCTTTTGGAATTTATGGGTGGGGTGCGTCCGCACCCTCTGCAACCCCCTGCCTACGGGCCTGTATAATAATAGGCTACTAAAGACAACTACGCAACACAGATATAGATTACTCCAAAACTTCTAGATTTATCTATGCTATAATATTTTATTCATATTAATATGTTTTGTTGTTGCCCTCTGCAACCCCTGCCAACGGGCCTGTATAATAATAGGCTACTAAGAACAACACAGATATAGATTAGCCCAAAGCTTCTAGATTTATCTATGCTATAATATTTTCTTTATATTAATATTATATTTTTTTTTATTTTGATGTATAGGCAAATAAATTGGTATTTCGGAATTGTATATGTTAGAGGGCCTGTACAATAATAGGCTACTACTACTACTACTGCTACTGCTACTGCTGCTGCTGCTACGGCTACTGCTGCTACCACTACTACTATTAAAAGTTTAATGAATTTTATCTTCTGTTTTACATTTTATGCCTTTTGAACTGCTTGTTTTCTGTCATGATAAAATGTGCAAAAATTTTACTTTTTGGGGCTTTTCCTTATAATTAGTTGTGCAATTTTTATATCTTCTGTTTTTTTGTTTTTTTGTTTTGTTTTTTTTTTTGCATGTGTTTTATTACTCTGATTACGAATAAATTCAATCAATAATCAAGTCACTGATACTGTTAGAGATATTTTTTTGCTACTACAACTGTTTCTGCTACTAGCTACTGATATTACTATTGCTGCCACTGCTAATAATACTGTGCTACTAATTCGGTAAATTAAACCTACCCATGCAGTTGTAATGTTTATTCATGTACATCTTATCAATGTGACTGAGTCTTCCATGTTGACCCATCCCAGAATGCTTCAGTGGGTCATGTGCTATCATCGTAGAGAATTCGTCGTTATATGGAACCTTGCTGAAAGTCTAATTAATACAATTCATTATGTTAGTATATTGTTGCTATTTGAATATTTATATTTTGATACGTTTTGTTTAGTGGATATTATTTTTAAATAATCTAACTTTCTATTCCTATACCTCCATTTTTATATCTGCTGGATGAAATCTTCCTAGAGTTTTTAATTCTGCACATTAGAGAACGGATAAACAAAGCCGGGTACTCATTGTGCAAGACGGCGACGACGAACGCACGCGACGGCGCGGAACCAACAATCGCTTTTTTAATGAGGATCCGTTCAGACTGCCACTGCAAATCAGCAGATGTCGTTACGTCGTCTATCGGTCGCCGGAAGCAGAGGTGGATTCGTCGTGCGACGGTCGGACGACCGTCGTACGACGCAGTGAGTGCTCAGGCTTTACTAAATATAATACGACTGTGTTTGCAATTATGTTATGTTAGTATGTGACCTGTTGGTCGGCTAAGGTAAGGTAGGCCAGGTAAGGTTTGTGAATTTAAACTTCCCATTACTAAAGATGGCAAGATATAACAAAACAATGATAATCGTCTGTATTGTTGTAGTTTTGGTATTTGTCGATACTGGAAACAAAATTCGATAACTGTAAATGAATTAAACTCCATAAAATACAGACTACATGTGCAGTTGAATCTCCGAGATGTTGCTGTATACTGTAATACATAGGCATGAGCCATGGCTTACGTAACAGCATCAGGTATACGCCATTAGACGCTAATGATGGTAGTGATGACCTACCCACTGACTATAATGCATGATGGAGCCTACATCGTACGGTACGTTCTCGTCGTTAGGCAGGTCCAGAATGGCGTACTGTGAATGGTAACCGTCTTCGATATTTTCTTCCAAAACTTGAATATAGTCGTCCCTATCCGGCCTGGTCTGCTCGTGAGCTAGGCCAAGTGCATGGCCAAGTTCGTGTAAAATAACGCTGATCTACGGTATATAAAATAAGGAAATCAAATAATTAGGCCTACAAACACATTTGACACACAGTATTTCAGAAAAGTCTACTTGTTATTCATTGCCTAGTTGATAAAGGAAAATCGAACAGAAGACCTGTATAGGCCTACTGTTTTTAAATTTTCTTCTTTAACTTTATAAGTGGTCTTTAGAGTGTTTGCTGGCATGAATAAAGAGACAATAAGCGCATAAGCATACATATCGATAGCATAGGAGTGATGTTTTGCCCTACCTGACGTGTTATCGTACCGAATATTCAGTACGGTCCCAAATACTTGCGAAAAATTTGCCAGTGATTCGGGTGGGAATCGAACCTCTAGATAACTTGCCTGATGTCATAACCACAGAGCACCGAGCTCGGGCTTAGTTGTATCCGATTTCCGAGTTACTAAGCGCAACTTCTGTGGGCTAGTGATTATGACACCAGGCTAGTTATCTGGGTTCAATTCTTATCTGAATCACTTGCGAATTTTGTATTTGGAAACGTACTGAGTATTCGGTGCAATAACGCATCGGATATTGCAAAACATCATTCTTGAATTATTTAGGTAATATTTTGTGATTATTTATTATCATTTTTCGAACATTTTCAACAAATAAAATACATTAAGATAGACGACCGTATTGAATCAGATCACAATGCCGTTCACATATGGTTTAATTGGAGTCAATGGCAGAATGATTGATATAATAAAATCTTTGTATTCCACATTAACTGCTCATGTAAAATTGGTGATAGCATAGGTCTTCCGTTTCAATGTAAACTTGGTGTATAACAAAGTTCTCCTTATAATCATCATTATTGTTCAATATTTTCATTAATGACTTAAATGAAATTAGGCAATGCATTATTTAATCACTTAAGGCCCGTTTATACTTGCAACGATAACGATAAAAAGATAAAAAGCAATTGTTCATAATTATAGAAAATAAAAGTAATGGAAGAAATTATTACACTAAGACGATTCAATAATGATTTATCGTGTATACGATAACAAAATATTTTGACAAATCAAATCAGATGACGTCATAATCATTGAAAACGATAACATCGTTGCTACTACTACGTACGATTTCAATGTTTTCCAGGATTATGACGTCATCTGATTTGATCTGTCAAAATATTTTGTTATCGCATAACCGATAAATCGTTATCGAATCCTCCTAGTGTAAAAACTTTATTTCGGTTATTTTCTATATGAACAATTGCCTTTTACCTTTTTATCGTTATAGTTATTTGGCTGAAAGTATAAACAGGCCTTTACTTTATCCAACGATTTCATTCTAGTTAACGATGCTGTTTATGGATTACAACAATCATTAAGTAAAGTGTTTGATTTTTAACAGTAAATAGTAATAAAACCAATTTTTATAAATATATCAATTATACCTATTGGAAGCAAAAGTGTCATGTAAGCCTACTTCATAAATGACTCTGAATCCGAAACTAATACTTACATGTGAACATCCCGAATTGGCCAAGGAGATTGGCTGAAGTCCAGACGTGTATCCTAAATATGAGTAACATCTGCCAACAAAACATAGGCCTACGCCATTAATGATTACGTCATAAAGTCAGGCTAACGTTGTACAACAGATTTGTTCTAAAATACAAAAAGCATATTTGACGGGAACTCGGGAACGGTTAATAAGAGACAGATTATTGAATATTATAATAAAACTGGGGCAAAAGGGTGCAAATAGAGTGGTTACGCCCCTTTCCCTTTAGCCTGGTGCTTGTGCTATAATTTAAGCATTGAGATTTAAAAATATACATTACGTTTCTCGGTGTTTATTAGGCCTATAACATTTTTATTACAAAGTTATTTCAATGTATTGTAGCGACTTCGTTTCAATACTACTTATGTGCTCGTTAAAAATCTGAACATCCTGAATTATTTATCTTTATGATTGGTAGGTCTAGTGATGCAGCATGAAGTATCTTAGATATCCTTGATGACAGTTTCATTCGTTTATTAATAGGCAGTGACTATTTGTTACACCAGTTTTAAAACAATTCGTAATCTGATTGAATATATGCCAATAACCAATCAGATCAGAATTAACAATTGGTTTTTACTCAACTGCGTGCGACGGCGACGCGACGGCAGCGCGACGAAGAACACACGCGAAGACGCGGACCCAACGGATCGTCTTTTTAATGAGGACTCCGTTCAGATTGCCACTGACAATCAGCAGACAGCGTTGCGTCGTCTATCGATCGCCGGAAGCAAATGTGGATTCGTAGTACGACCGTCGCACGACGCAGTGAGTGTCCGGTGTAAACATTTCCTATGCTTAATTAATATTCATTACCCATTTTCAGTAAACACAAACTGGAGACGGTCTTGATATTGGTCTACATAATCATACTCTTCGAACGTTATGCACGTGTCTCGAGACCAGTCGGCCACTGCTTGATACACTAACGGCTTTAAACTCTCGTCTAGAGGGCAAGAAAACCAAACACAATTTATATACTTTTAAGGTCGCCCTCAATTCGTAGTCTGAACTGCGCATGTCCGTATATAAACTTAATTGACATAAACCTATGTTGCGTGTAGGCCGAATCGAATTGACCTTGTTCTTTGACCTTTTTTTCCCGAAAATTGAAAGGTGTCTTTTTTGATTATTATGTACATTCCACAAAATGTTAGAAAGAAACCCTGACCCACCGACAAAAAGACAGACGGCAGTGAATAGGCCTACTATAACCTCCGGCGGAGGAAATTAAATGTTATTTGATTGAAAGGAAATAAATATCAATAAATTTTATTTAAACCAAAATCATTTTTTCTTTTAATCGTTAATTATAGGCCTATTATTTTTATCATTATAATTTATTTATTTATGTATTTATTACTTAATTTATTATAAAAGTTATAAACATTGTAGACCTACGGATGTCAACGATTTCAAATACTACATGGTTATTCGGCCACGGACTGATCAAATCAGTCCTTCTTCTGAAACGTCCTCCATTTCGGGATATTGTGTCATTCTGTTGTTTGGTTAGAATTATGTCAGCACCCTCTTCCGCTGCAACTACCACCGGATCATCTGCACCCTGTTTGTATATTAAAGTTTTCATTAAAAAAACGTAGGTAACAATCAAGCTGATACTACTTGTTGCGCATTTAAATAAAAGCAATTTAACAGAAGCAATAATAAAAACAAGTGAAAATGTGAAAAATATTTACGTCATTTAATTTTTTAATTATGAATAAAAAAAATCTTATGCGTCTTAGGAGAAATTAAGGGCCGACAAGATTTAAGCTTGACCTAAAAAAATATCAATAACTTTTATAATTATTACGGAAAAATACAATCATGTGCAATTTGTATAGTTCAAGAGAAAAATCCCATATATGTTAGGTGCGTGGGAAATGCTGTGAATAGTGGAAATTATTTCAGGGCTTGAGACGATCTTAGCTCTATCTATAAATACAGCAAAATACATAGTATCAAACCTTTCTTTGCTGTGTGTCGTTCTTTGGTGGTCGGGCACAGGCTAGCTGTAATGACATCATCAGGAAAAATACGATCAAAACCGCACTTATTTTAGAAGAATCCATTTAGAAGGCTAATCAGAGTATGAAATATATAACATATAATATTTGGCTGTACTGTATGGTAATAGTAACACAAAGTAAAGTCTAAAGTACTAAGTAGTAAATATGATAGTGGATTTGACATATCAGTGATATATTAATTATCATAGTAGTTTTTTTAATTAATTATGATAATGATGATGATGACGATGGTGATAATAGTATAAAAAGCTTGTCCCCAGTCGCCCATATTGAAAAAGTTTAAAGGCAAAAATACCACGCTCAAGCAGTTAAACATCACCTATCACATTATTTTGCGTGCTAACTCCCATTCACTTAATCATCCTCCTTCCACCACGTCAACTCCGCTCCCACCCTCACTCCATCAGCTCTCCATTTTAAGACTCCTGGATACTCCATTGGCGATAATAATTATAATGTTAGTGATGATGGTGGTGATGATGATGTTGTTGTTGATAATGATATTGACAATAGTCATAATGATTATAATGGTAATGTAATAATAATAATGATGGTAATGATTGATAATGATTTTGCTGATAAGCTGTAATGATGGTCACCATCATCATTATCAGTTCCCTTCTCCTCACCATATTATCATCACCCACACCACCACCACCACCATCATCATCCTGTGTTTCTCCTCATTATCATCATCATTATCATCATATTTATATTATCATCACCATGATCAAAAACAGCAGTGACTGACGCTGTACCTCTTAAACCTTTAAACACTACAGTTGGAGACCGTATGAGGTCGGCTTTACCCACCAAAACCAGAACTGCCGTATTCAGCCGAATGCAGGGCAAAGCTCTTTCAGAGGTGAAAGCAAAGCTTTAAGCATTAGATACATATGCTGATTCATCTCAATGTGAACCCAGTTTATTTGTCGGTGAAAGTTTGAGGATAAAATGTTTGTTGTTAACACCATCCCAAAGGAGTCATAATAATAAAAAAACAAAAATAGTAGTTTATCCTACCTGAAGTTTTATTTGATGAGAGATAGTCTGTGAAACTACTCCGCAGCAATGACTGCTTTGGAATGATTTTAAAGGTAATAGATCATAATTTATATATTTATGGGACTAAAATAAGTTTCATTTACAACGGAGGCAACATGTGGCATTATTGATTTATGGCCATCTGCCTATATATTGACAGTTCATTAACAGCTATACAATTAAATACCTGAACTAATTAATATCTACTATGTAGCCTAATCAATTATAATTAATACATATATAGACAATGTATTTCTTTAAATAATGGGACATTCATTATACACATTGTGATAATCATCATACTCATTCTAATTATTATCCCAAAGATTTCTTAATTTTAGATTTTTGTAGAAAGAATCAGTTTTCGAAATGAAATATCATGCGGTGTATTGTGGATATTTGATTTCTTAAACCCAATAAGTATTCGCTAATGACATATAGACCTAATGTATGTGATGAAATGGTCACAACAGTACAATTCATATCCGACCAATGTCGGAGATGATGTTCCACGCACGTGTCTCGATGGACAAACTGAATAGTGTTGAAATTATCGAAATGTATACATGTATTTATACATTGTTTTGATACAACTAGCTAGGACGACACCGTCTATATCGCAAATGCTTACATTTTATATGGAATTGTGTTAGCTTTCAAATTGTAAGTTTAGAAAAAAAAAATATTATTTTTCTTGTCGACATAACAGACGCATTAAATATCACCGTTCCTATATTCCTTAAAATGGCTGGTATTCAATTTAAATGATTTATGAATAACACCGTATTTTTTAATGTAAAGTATTTTTAAATGATATTTTATGAAAGTATATTTACTTATTTATTTATTCCAATCCAACAGCGAATAATCGCCACTAACAGACTGGTATAAAAATCTAGCTAGAATCACAAACATCATACAATCATATGATATAATATAATAAAATACATTTTGACTTTGGCAGGCCTATGTATGTAAAACTTTCTCAATTCAGCCAAAGAATTTTATTTTGCCACTATTTGTATATGCTTTTATTGAATAAAAGATACTGATATATATATATATTATACAGTAACTCATTTGGGCCTACAGTAAATTAGTAAAAACTGGGCTGGTTTATCTGTCTCATTTATTAATTTGTATGGTCTTTTCATATAAACTGTTTAATTTTCTTATTTCTTTATTGAGGGTGTTCTCGACAGTTGTCAGTCAATCCTTAATTGACCACATTAGATAAAGTCACCATTCATTGCAACATCAACATGTACTTAGTATATGCAATATCTACTAGTATACTTAATAAAACCACAGAGAAAGTTAATTGAAAATAGCTCATGTAATTTTATTTTTATCATATTATGAAACAGAATATTGGTAAAAATATTAAAGGTTTGCATATTACATGATCTGCAATCTGAATGCTCTACTTAATAATTTCAATTGAATAGACTTAATAAACTTTAGCTGCAACAACAAAATATCACAGTCTGGATCGTACCGTAATTGCCACATTATAAGATTCAATTATGATGTTTATTTTTAGGCCTATCATATAAGACAAAAATTGGCAGCATTATAAAAATATTATTATCCACAAATATAATCTATGTTTACACATAAGATTAAAATAATAAAATTAGGCCTAATTATTATCTGCATATAAACTCCGACGGCGAAGTATACAAACAAATTTACATTTTTAAAGGTTATTGACGAGATAAAAAGAGAACGGTGACAAAATGCCCATGCACGAGAGGCTCATAAGCAAGCTTCAAGAGTCTCTTATATCAAGTAAAACAAATAGGCCTAAGTCAAAAATGTCGCTCTAAGAAGGTGGTGGGCACGACTCATCAAACTCGACAGTATCGCCCATGCAATCCACTAAATCTCCTCCACATGAACGAAGTCGCACACGCTTATTTGGGCCGTTGTCACAAATACGAACACAAGATGACCACTCAGTCCATTCTCCGTATGCTGCAATGAATAAGGTTGATTATCGAGGTTAATTGGTCGTAAAATAGCACATTATCTGAGATTCGAATGCACAAGTCAAGTGTTATTCTATAGGTGTAATATTCATTATTCATTTCTTAAAATATTGAATTGATACCGTACTCAAATAGGCTATTGACACTCCAGTAGGCCTATTCATACTCAGATAGTTCTCTTCATACTCAAGTAGGCTATTGACACTCAAGTAGGTAAATTTCCATCAAATAGCTACACGCTATTGTCAGCTGTTTTTCGGCGACGCTGATTAACTGTGTAGCGGCAAGCGTTTTTATAGGAGCCATTAGCCTGTCTGCACTGGCTTAACTAGCTGTGTTAGTAGCATTTTTTTTACAATTACAAAGGGCCCGCTAAACACCGTAATGAGAATGCAGTTTAAAATCAAAAGTTAAAATGTTAAATTATAAATATGTTACAATTTAAAATATTATTTTCAAAATATCAAACGCTATCGTATTCTACTGGGGAAAAAAGAAAAAAAATTATTATTATTATTATTATTATTATTATTATTATTATTTCTTAATACATATCAATATTTACCTGGACAAGGCTCCAGGGAACACATGATTGATTGGGTATCCAGACATCCAGGCCCGTCAGAGCAAATTCTTGACCGTTCCATTATTCCTCCCTCGCCACAAGTAATTGAGCATTGGCTCCACTCAGTCCACAACCCAAATCCTGCACAGCCAGATTGACCTGAAATGGTAATACGTCAAATGTTTATATCAATACAATTTAACAGTGCAGTACTGATAATATATGACAATCGAATGATTATTATATAGCATATTACCGTCATCTGTATTCATCTGTCGTACGGATGTCATTGGCAGCGTCGTTGGCTCATCTGATGTCCTTGATGTCTGTGACAGAGTGGTGGGTTCACCCGATGTTGTAGAACTTACAGTTGTTGTCCTTGATGTCAGTGACAATGTGGTCAGTTTATCTGGTGACGTAGGAGATCTGGTCGACGTCATGGATACGGTACTTGTTTTATCAATCATAGATTCTGAAAATATTCAAAATCAACGTTGTGTGTTATATATTAAAGTTATAATGAGGGCTTTCAATTTTATTCACGTTGATTCTTTCCACCAAAGATGTAAATTTGTAACTGATTATGTCAGTGAACTACGCCAATGAACATGTTTTAAATCAGAAATTAAATACTTTCTAATACGACCAAGACCAATAACACACACACAAAAAACACCAAGTTCAAACCCATGAATACAAATAAAAGAAAGAGCAGCACTAAGAAAGAACAAGATTATGGGTGCTTAAGCAAAAACGCATAGTTGTGATTTAACTGTCCCCTGGTCAGTACCACGAACAAAAGGATAACCACGAACAAGAGCAGTACAAGGAAAAACCAAGATCGTGGGAACGTAAGAGCGAGCTTTCAACAAACGCATGGGAAACCAGGAGCAAGAGGGAGGATAACCAAGGACAGTACAATGAAAGACCATGGATCATGAGAAAAGCAAGTGCGAGCAAGCGCTGGACAAACGCATGTGGACAGGACCACGAACAAAAGGAGAACTATGAACGAGAGCCGTACGAGGAAAGACCAAGATCATGAGAAAAGCAAGAGCGAGCAAGCGCTGGACAAACGCATGTGGACAGGACCACGAACAAAAGGAGAACTATGAACGAGAGCCGTACAGGGAAAGACCAAGATCATGATTGCATAAGCAAGAGCATGAGCTAAACAAACAAGATGGACAAGACCAAGTCTAGGAACTACTAGATTTGCTACTCTGTGTCTGTAAACACACCACAGGGCTAACCTTCCTCATTGGCATAATGGACACTGATGTTGTTACTGTATCCTTAGAGCCATTTAAGACTCGAACCTTGTTCTCTATATTATTTTACTGAGATTACGTTGCAGAGCTCATACACATACTCCACACAGATCCCTGTGGTAACTAATTATTTGTTTACATATCATATTAATGGTATTTGCTTAGTCAAATAATGCACTCGCAGTTACATGTCTTACAAATTTTATATAATTATAGGCCTATCATTCTTTGTATCTGTCATCTGATAATAAAACAGTAAGTTACCTGTTGTTAGAGGGCTTCCATTTATAACCCAAGATGCCTTGAATCCAGATTGGGAGACACTGATGTCGGAATAGAATCGTACAAACATCATATTCGACACTGATGTAATTTCATTAGGAACAGTTGTGCCACAATACCTACAATAAATCAATACAAACGCTGATTTTATAAAGTAAATAAACATTTTGTTTACTATCAATAATAATATTTAAAGATGTTTGTTGACCACTCCCTCATTTTTATCGGTCCCTTCATTTTGTTTTTAATTTTTCACAAGCCATAACTCCAAAAAAAAAAGAAAAAAAAAAAAAAAAGAAAAGAAAAAAAAAAAAAAAGAAACCTGCAAATATAAAAAATCGGTAGGTTGCTCATACTTCCACACATATTCGTGTACAATGTCCATGAGCACTCCCCTCTAACTTTAAGTACCGTACTCGCCCGGATAAGCTCCCGGGCTTATGAAAACAGAGGGGAAATTGAGGGGGCGTTGATGGAATTAGATGAAAATCGAGGGGTTCTTATGAGAACCATACCTCCATGTGAGAACTTAGTAAGTTCAGGAGGCACTTTTTGAATGAAAAACGATTATATAAGGACATCGGGAAACCGCAAATTACGAATGGTGGTGCGGCTGAAAAGATAATCGTCCAGAGAGCATATGGCTCGTCTCGTCGAGTATTTATATAAGAGCAGAATAGCAAATTAAATTAGTGGTGGTGGTTAGCTTGTTGGCCATCGGCCGATTGAGATTATGTAGCAGGATGGTATGATCATTGCAGGTTTTCTTGAAAACTCAGATGAGAATGTGTTAAAGGTGCAAATTGTCGGAAAAGCAGTAGGACTATAGGCCTCTAGACAAATGTAAGAAGATGAAAGTTTCACGCTGTCCAGGGAGCTTTTATCTGTCCAAGAGAAATATCTTCATTTTCATATTGACCTAAGGAAAATGTGATTCCACTGCGCAGCTCAAATCATGCCAACATCCACATTTCCAGGATTGATTGGATTTCTGACTTGTTCAAAAAAAAATCACATGATAATATTATTGAGAGGCGCTTATTCAAACGGGGCGCTTATTCAACCTGGGCGCTTATTCGCACGAGTACGGTATAGGAAAATTCGAGTTATAGCCTTAAAATAAAAACTGTCTTTGTGTTTTTCATACTTGGTGTTTTCAGTGTAGAGATCATCAAATCGAACTTCAAGGAAATCATATCGGCAACCGGTGCTATCCTCAAGTTCAAACGCCAAGAATCGTAGTGTGATTGTTGACCCTTCGCCTCCCTAAAGTTATTTAAAAAAGAGTGTTATTATTAAGCGGTAGGCCTACAGCTCAGTCACCAAACCTATCTAGGCTTGCACTGGGTTTAATCTGAATAGCATTTGTTTCTTAGGTTTAAATTAGTATTATTCAAGTTATGACGTTGTAAAGAGAAAGAAAGTTTTACATAGCGTTTATACTATTCACCGTGATAGGCAAAATTCCCCTCTTTCGACTCAAAATGGATATCAATCTCCTCTTTTGTTAAGTTTCTTTAATATGTGAATAATACATTAAAAACATTCATAGTAGATTCACGTCCTGTACACAAGGTAAGGAAAGTTCCGTGCCTAACAACGCATGTCAAATTAGGTGGAGCCAAGACTGTAAATTGTGACTTGTAACATTTTCTAATGAGATTATATAGAAACATCTTAATATAGAAGTAATGATTTCAGCCAATACCTTTATTAGGTACAAACATTCTTCGTTATTGTTGTAACTTTCTGGATGATTTGGTGACGTGATCACACCTGCCGCGTCGGTTAATTCGTACACACAACCTGGTCACAAAGGATTTAGTAATTATTTTGCAAATTGATGATTTGATTTACAGATCAAACATTCATTTAAACACATGTAGCATATGGTATAGAGAAGGTCAAACACATCAAATTTAATAAATTTAGTGACAACAGCAATCCTCCTAATCATAACCATAATCATATTCAAAAATAATAATCATCATTACAATCATCAAAAATACATAATTTAGAATGTTTTTACCCCTGTCAACTGGTTCTTCTTCTTGACAAAATTCTCCCTTGAATCCCGGTGCACAGACACACGTACATTCAGGGCCCACGTAGCCGCCGTTTCGACAGTTCAATTCGTTGCATCCCACTACAAATACAATCATTAAACGTTGCATATTTTTATATATAGTTTTATTATTAACATCGTTATTATAAGTCTCATCATCGTGTCACCGTAGGCCTATATCTTGTTTCTCAGGCAAAATTAAAAACTGAAATATATAGGCCTACATATTATACGCCTATTCATACATATGAATTAAGTACAGTATGCTTATAATATTTGACAGCACAAAACTACATTTACGAAACATTAATTAAAATTATTGCTTTTTAAATATCAAAAATACAAAAATGCAATTATAAATTTCAATTTGTATATATGAGCTTACCGTTGCAACCATAGATTATATTTGCCAACTTGATGTCCGCAAATGTTAGCTCAAATCGGTTCCCCAGAAGTGTCTGGTAAAGCGGGTTAAGGGCTACGATCGTTGCTTTTGAGTTTTTAGAAAAGGACTGAAATAGAAGATAGCATATAGATCAGTCTATAAAATAATTAGAAAAAAGACCCGCCCCTTTAATAACGTTGCTACGGTGCCACAAGAACATAGCGTAAACGTACGTACACGCGTGCGTTTGTGGGACACACGTGTTTGTGGGACAAGCGCGTAATCTTAGTGATGTTCTGATTGGTCAGTTATTAAGCTTAATTGACACACCGGAAAGGATTTAAAACTGTATTATTTCATGATTCAATAAATATTACGCCCCCACCGATGCTCAAAAGAAACTTTAACACCACATTGATAATAATGAGAGCATACTCCATCTCATAGCTATTATTTAAATTAGTTTTTTTTTCTTTAAATATTTTTAATCAGATATGATCGACAGGCCATCAATATTATTATCTAGCTACGTTACAAAATGGTCACTAGTGTAAGATTTATTGTTTGCACACTTCAGTACTATGATGGTCAGCCCGCGCCAAAGCAGTGATGAGCACGCTGACCATTTGAAAATAGTATCGTATGACTATCACATGAAGGTTTAGTGTGATCATGTTTTGAAAGATGTTTAATGTACTTACATAAGTACCGTAGTGCATAATTGACCCCAAATCGTACGGAACAGACTCTGTTGAGATGGATGACCAATCGTACTTGCGGAAATTTCCTTCTGTTCCCGCCAGAATGTTTTCTGTCAGAACTCGGATATAATTATCACGATCAGGTCGAGATTGCTCGTGGAAGAAACCAATCGCGTGCCCCAGTTCATGAATAATTGTGCCTTTCTGAATAAAGAAGGAAACATATATAATGAATCTTTTTGGTTACTCTCCGAACAAGTCTAATTTTACTTTATTTTCTGTGAATTATGGTGTTGAGCAGTACACCGAGACACACATCCTTGCTACCATACGAGGAGTGTATTACACACATGATCACTTAACTTTTCACCCAACTTCTCACCCAAGAGACAATACGCTATTGCTTAAAAAAATGTAAAACATCCTGGAGGTTCAAATAAACGCAGATCAAAACAAATAAGCTTTTGTTAATCCTCAGAACCACAATAATAATAAAATTATTAACAGCCACTTTATGCAAATAATATATGACATGTTAAATATTAATAGGTTGAGAAAACATATTTTGCTCAATTTTCATTTACTTCGTAGTAGGCCTACATGCTCAATAAAAGAAAAATCCAATACAATTATTATTATCATTCCACGGTACTTACATGATTACACCCGGTTCCAATCGAGACTTGCTGAGCTCCATTTCCTATTTTACCAATGTATGACCAACATCTGAAATTAATATCATTGTATTTAAAATATCTGTAAACATGGTGTACCGCAGGTGAGGGAGGGGATGGCGGTGAATAACATTATTTTTGTACTCACCCAGATCCAGAGAATATAGATAAATAAGAATCGTGTAGGACTTCGGCTGCTACGCTGGCACTTTTTGGCTTGAAAACGAGGCACGTATTGCTCTCCCAGTCGTGGATGGCCTGCATTATAACATCACGGTTGTTTTCTTAAAAGATGTCGGAATAAATTAATGTCCGTTATTATTATTATTATCTTATTGTAATTAATTTCGTTATTAGCACTCAATGTAAAAGTAATATAAATGTTATGATAATTATTCAATAATTATAATAACATTAAACATTTTTCTACCAACATTTACTGTAATTGAGAAAGCCGAATGAGTTGTAACATATTTATCGTATTTGTTTTGCCTGCAGAACTTTTCACCATTAATAAATTACTAATTTATTAACACTCTTTTAGTTTATTACGTTCATCATTTTCAGATATTGACATGAATAATCACCTGAGGATGATGTTATTTCATAGGGGATGATCTTGAAAGGCCAACGTCGTGCCAGATTTGAAGTTGCTTTGCGTGCCACACTATCGTCGTCCGTGATTATCAATTGCTGTAACTCGTCGAATTGCGATTGAGTCAGAATTATGTCACCTTCAAACATATCAGGAACAACATTCTGCTCATCTTGGACGTCTTGTGAGACCTACAAAATATAAAGAAGCATGCGGACATTTCTAAAGATGAAAATAGAATACCAATAAGAAAAAGCAACCAAAAACCTCACAAAAACAGGTCTTGCGTCTAAAAAATCCCCCAAAACTGTGACCAATTTAAATGGTTCTTTTAAATATATGATACAAAAATATTACTCACTGGAGTTGGTGGGTTTGTCGACTGTGCCCAGACTTGGTAGACAGCAAACATCAGAGTCATTAACACCTTCATTTCGTCTGTTTGAGGTATGAGTGCTTTATGTCCTATAATCCGTGTACCACACACCCTTTATAGGGTCCGCGGCGTGTTAATGAATCACACCGGAAGACATAGGTCTTATTTAGCTCTTGAAAGACAACAGAATCACCATATAATCTGTCTGGGGGTTCTAGATTCATTAACACGGAGCCAATTAGATGTCTTGTCTGGTGTCAATATAAAGCAAACTATTATTATGTTGCAAAACAGCGGCTTTTATTCATACTGCCTGTGATAACAGTTTGAAAGCTCTTGAAAATTTCAAATAAAACAGGAATTTTCTCATAACATTATTCAAATAAATAATGGTAGACACATATCAAAATATTTGGTTTTCATTTATTTAAACTTTTGACTAAAAAACACTAAATTTAAAGACCTTTCCGGTGTATTAACCAAAGTTAGCAACTGACCAATCACGCCAGAAGACATCTTAATCAGCACTGCTCATTCCGATTCTCAGTAATAATTGGATGATTTTTTTGCGATATATTGAATACCGCTCTTTAAATTATTTTCTGATTTGAAAAAAAAATAATTGAACTGTAACATTTGTAAAATAAATATAGGCTATTCTACTAGGCCTAATTATTTTAATAATTATTTATGAACATTGTAAATTGGGATCCATGCAAGATTCTCAGATTCTATAACATCAAAAACAAAATCAGAGGATGACCGCGCCAGAGTATCATTCAAAAAGTGATTAATGCCAACCAACCGGAAAGATGGCAATTCTTGCATATTCTGCTGCGAATTATGCCACATCACCCGATAGAGTTAGATTAGGTAATCACAGTAATTGTTCTGCACTAGGCAAGACTTGACCTGATCAGGGAAATGAACGCCCCTGTCCAATGATGAGTTCCAGGATCCTCCTGACCCAGGAGGAGATTACCTGTTAAGGGTCCCAACTTGGGTGACAGGTTTCAATCATTCATTCATTCATTTATATAAAATTATAAAAAAAGAAAAAAAAAAGGATCTCTCTTAATGGATTGCCTGGGTGTATTTCAATTCTTATGGTCAATGACAGCCAAGTGCCTTCAGCATGATGACGGCCAGTGGAACAAGTAAGTAATTTATGTGGTTGAAATCGTCAAAAACACATTGCTAAGTTACGGTGAATAATTCAACAATGACGCATTTTTTTTAATTGACATACGTAACACGTGTACCACCAATCCCGTCACGAAAGATGTGAACAAAATAAGTGTAAATTAGAATTGATTGTGTCAGTCGAAAGTTTAAAATTCAACACTATGATATTTTTCACAGCTTTTAATAATACAAACGAGACTTCAACAATGTTGTATTTTTCGCTTTGTTTTAGTAATGCGCTTGTTCGGGTTCCAGTGGTAATATCGGTCACTATCAAAGCAACGGATTGCACTAGGCACAGGCGTACTGCCAATATTGCCTAAATACACCTAGTTAAAACAACAATAAAAGCCTATGGTAATGACTTTTGTAATTTGACTGTATTTTGTTCAATCTCCTGATCAGGTTCAGTCAATACCAAAAACCTCCGCAAAATTACATTTCACTTTTTGACGGAGCAGGCAACTTACATAGGCCTATCAAGTTACTTAGCTAAACAGAAAATGTTGAGGTCATTAATATTATTCATATCGATCATTATATCTATAAAAAGAGTAAATTCAAAGCCACTCGAGACAACAGCAGGAACAAAGGTAAGTTTTAAATAATTAAATTAATTTTACTATTATATTTACTAAAACATTGTGCTTGTGTAGGCATGTTATATAGCACAGCAGGTCATGATTAAGTCAAAAATAAAATAATTAACATAACTTAGGACTATATTTTACAGTGTAGTACCGGTATTTGCTGGTAATGTAAAGACTATGAGACCTGTCTCCACAAAGTTATGTTATTTAAGTGACTGCTTTCTTGAAATGAAAAATGCAACTATTGAAATAATTAAGAAATTAAATTATGTAAATTATGCACTTCCGTATTTGAACGGTGCGTGACAAAAAGTTTTGGCCATACTATAAAATTTTATGTGACAAATTTGTGTGATAGGCCCATATATGGGCATGATGATGTCACATTACACCCAAATATGGGCATATATTCATATGACAGTGATAGAGCTTCATACAATACGTATGTTTGCGAACAAAATAAATACTACTGGTATAACTCTTATGTAATTTGTGATAGGTTGGATTAGTTTGTATTATGCGCTGCGTTTACTTTCGACTTAGACATGAGTATTTGAAATTATACGAGAGGGTTTTTACTGCAAGTGGTATCTAATAAGACCACTTCATGATTATTGTCTTACTGTTTTCAATCTTCAAGATAAATATTTACTTTAACTGTTAACCAGAAACAGAACGAAAAACAGGATATAGATGTTTTTGAGTGTCCATGGTGCTTCGAGGGAGATATGAAACTGACGCCCTATCAAAAAGCAGAGTTTACAAAATTATCGAAAAGTGATGTATCAAAAACTAAGGAGCCCGCCCCCAAGCGAAATAAAAGAAAAGCAACTTCAAACCTATCGCAGAGATGGCCAAAGGCAGCGATTCCCTACACTATACACCAAGGATTACGTACGTATCGATGCTTTCATTGCTAAAAATTAGCAGGCATTCAAAAATATTAAATTTAAATAATACAGTAAATTCGTTATTTGTATTCATAATACGAAAGAAGTTGCATATCATATTACCTTCAGCTTAAGAGGCAGTCTTAGTATGAGCTCTTGGAAACAACCTTTCATGCTTAAATGGTTATCTTTATTTAAAACCATATTTATAGAGGGTGACCCTTCCAGCGTATCCAAGAAATTCGGCTGGTATTCAAGGGCCCTCTTAAATAAATGCAATGTGATGCTTTATCAGCGATGTCTCATTATGAGGCTTAGAAAGTGTATGTACTTTAGTTGTGAGAAAAAAACACCCTGTGCTGTCAGAGGATTTGAACCCAGGACCCTAGGATTGAAAGGCAAGCATCCCAAACACAAGCTACATCTCCACTGCATCTTCTTGCTCTCAACTTATTACATTGCTCTGCTTGTACAGGTTGGTTAATAAATGTTGTACATGACTTATATCCTTCCAAATTTGTGTATAATATTTTATATTTGAAATGAAATAAATTTATTCTCTTTTTTATGTATTTTTCCAGGGGAACACACCAATGCTATCCAAACCGCCATACGCAATTGGGAACAAGTCACGTGTGTGCGATTCTATCCGACTGACCAACCGATTCCCGTACAGCTTGATCACTCAGCATATCTCAACTTTTATAAGGGCGATGGGTAAGGACCTGATAGAAACCTCAAAATCATTTCGTATAATGTCTTATCAATCAATTTTTTCGTCGATAAAACATGAAGAGTACAATGACCAACATTAATACAAGATAAAAAAAAAAAAAAAAAAACCCGTAAAAAAAGTCATCAAAACCCAATCGTAATGTGGTTGGATTTATCAGTAGCGCTTTATAACAAAGTCTCAAAGCGCTCAAAAATAATATCATGTTTAATGTTTGAATGTTTTTTATATGTATAAGGTATATATATAATAAGTATAAGGTACCAGATCGTCTGGGCAGATATATATATACACATATACAACTGTACACATATGTATAAAATGGTTGGCAGACATGTAAATACTGCAAGACACTGAATTATTTGAGATATTGATATTTATTTCATAAGATTTTTTTGGTAGCACCTGCTGCCATAATGCAATACAAAATCACACTTCTTTTTACAACACATAGATGCTGGTCGTCAGTTGGCATGGTAACGTACAGTGGATCTCAAGAGGTGTCGATTGGAGGTGGATGCCAATATGTAAGTATGAGGAAGTGATGAAGGGGAAATTATATCTAATAATATCGATAACGATTAGCACAACGTAGCTGGATTTGATTGGATTTATTATGTGTAAACAGCAAAGATAGTCCACGTAAGTCTAGACTTATTCCCAGTGGGGCCCTTCTGGTGATGATCCCCTACTCTATTCCGAAGAGTGTATTGCGTTCTTTTACGGTTTAGCGCACACATTGTGGCTACCACCAGATTAGCCGACTGAGCTAAGCTGCTCTTTCTGGTGGTGGTGGTGGTAATGGTTATGGTGACGATGATAAGATGGTGATGATGATGTTGTTAATAATGTTGATGAGGGTGGTGGTGATGGCGTCAGTAATGAGGATGATGATAAGGATTATGATAGAGTTCCTAGATATTAATATGAAATAATATAACTAATATTAATGATAACGAATATGTAAATTACTCATGCCATAGGTCAACTCAATCATTCACGAGATTGGTCACGCCCTTGGATTCATCCATGAGCATTCGCGGTACGATCGTGACGACTACATCCAGATAATGACAGACAACATTATGGAAGGTCGGTTACACAATTTCTACAAAGCTGAACTACATGATGTTATCACAGAAGGCGTGCGATACGACACTAGTTCAATCATGCACTACGGTACTAAAGTAAGTGATCCCAAAGTTTAAATTGTATTTATTTAATGCAGTTCCTAAAATGCACTCTATCCACCAGGGCCAAGGTCTTTGATTGGAGGGAAACTGCTGCTAAACGATATGTTCTCATTTCTGCATATGTAATGAATTGAATCAGTCTGGGGTGTGACAAGGCCAACACTGCTACGCACACATAGAATATTTCTCATACAAACTGTCATGTTATGATATTTCACATTTATGTATACAGTGTTAATTACGTTGATGTTTTTTATTTCCATTGTGTTCCAGTACTTCACAAAAAATGGTCAGGAAACTATCAAAGCTCGTGATGTAATCGACCAATGGAAATTAGATCATCGTGATGGCTTAAGTTTCTACGACATCAAACTCGCAAACTATATTTATAATTGCAACGGTAAGGCTAATGTAAACAATTGATATTTCTTGATAATAAAAATCATGTTTAGGCCTAAAGCTTTATTTCTTGAGTAAAATATGGAAAATCCTCAAAACATAATAAAAACTTGGAATTCCTGAATTTAAGGGCAGCCGAACTCTCTGTGCAATGTAAAATGGATCTAGGAACTCATTTTCAATAACTCACTAATATATGATATTCATTTTACAGACAATGCGTGTGAATGCTTTGATAGTGATACATATTGTTTAATATGGTTCTCTTTGTTACCAGTTCTATCCTTGCTTTCATCATAATCATATTTCCATACGTAGAATTACTACAATTCTGAGCATTATTTAATTTTCATAAATATTAACTCTTATGACGTCATAGCATCATGTGAGCTCTTGCCGTGTGAGAATGGTGGTTACGTCGGTCCAGAATGTAATTGCGTGTGCAACCAGGGATTTTCGGGAAATCTATGCGAAGTTCAGGAGCCAGCGAATCGAGGTAAGAGTGCCCATTTGTCTAAATCATACAGTGGCGTATCTAGGAAACTTCAAATGGGGAAGCAGTTGGAGGGGGTTGTTGATTAAGTGAGGGGCACTGGGTCACAAAATAAGGTGTGATATGAGGTGATTTGGAACTACTTGAGCGTGATTTTTGATGGCCTATTTGCTTCGAAATCATCGTAGTCTAAAGCTGCACTTCACCATCGGATCCGAATCTAAAATTAGACTCGGCTTTTCCGATGCGCTGAACGGTGCCAGCATTCCTATTTTAAAACACTGATTCGATTTTCTTATCATTGCGGTAGGCTTTCCGATCCGAAAATTCTGATTTAGTGTGAATGCACCTTCACACTGTGATTCTATTTTCTAATCGGTTCGGTCGGCCTCCTCGAAACACTCCGATTCGGTGTGAATGAGGCTCAATCCATTAAACAAACTGGGCCTCGATTCGAAATCTTCATTAATTTCATGTTAATTTCTTTAAGGTTGTGTATATCGACTAACAAATACTCACGGTGTGATAATGTCGGAGCAATACCCATCAAATTATGCAAATTATCAAGATTGCTTAATTCTGATATCCGTAAGTACTACTTAGCATTAGCTTACGTCACCATGCGTTATGATTAGGCCCTAGGCAGCAAACGCTTTATGCTATACTTTTTACGGTTATTACACTATACCGACGGACGGACAATTAAAAAAAAAAAAATTAACCATATCACTTTGGATATTTAAATTTACAATACGCAATGTAAAATACACGACAGTTATATTTATAATTTTTAACTAGTAGGTTATGTTTAAACCATAGGGTCAAGTTGGGTCAACAATTGTTTTAACATTTGAGCATTTCGATGTGGAACTGCAAGAAGACTGTTTGTACGATTATTTGGAGATTCGTTCTCAAAACATTGATAAAGACGGGGCTAAGTAAGTAGATCGACATCGAACAATTCTTATTCATTTTACTTTTCTTTGTTATACATATCTTTATTTCATTTCTATTTGATTGGCGTTTAAGTGACGGCAAGTGAAAATAACGGAAATGACGCTCAGTTCAGATTGCCACCGACAATCGGCAGACGGCGCGCCGTCTGGCGTCGCGATGTCGCACGACTGTCCTATGCGAAGTGAGTGCCCGGCTTTGGAGGTAGAGCCGAGCACGCACAAGGACTGACGGTCGCCGGCCGACACGATTCTGTGAAGAACGCAACGCGACAACGGATCGTTTTTAATGACGATCCATTCAGACTGACACCGTTAACCAGCAGACGGCGTCACGTCGTCTAGCGCTCACAGGGAGCGGCGTTGGATTCGTCGTACGACGGTCGTCCGGCCGTACTACGACGTAGTAAGATATCGGTACTATATCATAATGATACGTCTATCTTTTAGATACTGTGGCTCATCTTTGCCGCCGCAGATCGAGAGTGTTGGCAACGAGATCCTCTTAAAATTTTTCACTGATGCAAGTATTACAAAGTCTGGCTTCAAAGCTACGTACAATGTGATGGACCACCTGGGCCACTGGAGCGAATGGTCCGACTGCTTTCCGTCGTGTGCGATCAGTGCTAGGCAACAAAGGCATCGGGAATGCGCAGGCACTGCTGGGTGTAATGGTCGAATGTTTGAAGAGAAGGACTGCGCCATCGATTCATGTATTGGTGAGTGTATAATCAGGGGTGGCTTCAGTGATGGGGGGGAAGCCAGCCCCACCCGACGGGGAGAGCTGCCCCCACCACCGGGAGAAAAAGCAAAATTCGTCGGGGAGAAAAAAAATTAT